ATGGAAAACAAGTCATGGAGAGGCCCATGCTGAAGTTTTGGAATCTGCACTCACTTGGTCTGTGACATTGCTTTGTGCAAGACTATGATGAAAAGAAGCCTTTTAGGTGGTGGGTGAGCTTTCCGTATTCAGTTTCCTTCCTTGGTCAAATGACTTCCTGCTTGTGTAAAATGGTATGAAAGAAGAACCAAAGTTTTGGTTGCCTATAATCTGATTGCACTGCTCTCCACACAATATGTCTCACTTCACTTTCATCTTCTGAGACAGCCTTAACATCATTTTTAATTTAGAGTCTTGTTGGAGGATATGCTGCCTCTTTGTGAAATACCCCGTTTCCCCAGCACTACAATGTGTCTGTCGTTCACTAACTGTTTAACTTTGCTTCCTTTCAGTGTTTCCTAGGACATCAAATGAGAGCCTGAGATACTCAAAAACCTAGTGTTGCAATGAAAAAGAACTTATTAAAGTTTATAATTACAGAAAAATTAATCAAAGAGACTTAGCATGGTACTTGCTTAAAGACAATAAGCCAAGCTCTTGTCATAGTGAAATATGGAATAACTCCACTGAAATAAATCTTAATTATACTAAAGTCACTACTCAGTGTGACTTAATTAAGAGTAGAGCAGTGAGAGCCTTTTGGGAAAAAAGAACACTGATTTCACAACTACTTTACTTCATATTTCTTCCTTCCCCCCTTTCTTTTCCTTCACACTGGAGAAAATGTCAAAACTACAGTTGTTCAAGTAAACTTGAATAGATATTAGCATGTGGCAGGTTACATCCTAAATAGGAATTGTTTGAAGTAAAAGGTTGAGAATGATAACCCTGAAGACAATTTCTTTAAATCACACATGCAAAGTGCCATGCATCCGTACCTATCTTGGCCATAAAAAGTATGTAGCTTTGTTAGACATCAAATTTATGAAACATCAACTACTGGACTACACAGGGGAAGACTTAATTCTAAGAAAAAAGACAGATGAGTAGATTAATTAGGGTTGAAGTAGTCCACATGGGAAAATGTAAAGAAAAAATTACAGAAAATAAATATACCTTCACTCCAGCTTCCTGAACGCAGCATGCAACAATGGCTATAGAGTATAGACAGATACATTGTTCAACAAGCATATCAACAATGTAAAGAGGTTCATTTGTCATTATTTCACTTTTTACCAGATAGAAAGCATGCAAAGCCAGATATACGATGTCAATAAATCTGTTGACTTCAACAGAGTTATCTCAACAATGAATTCAAACCAATATACTTTGAGGGAATGTAACCAAACCAAGTAGGAAAATGTACACAGGGTTCTTGGCAACTTCTGTAGACCATATACAAAACCATACATTAAGGGAATATGTATAGTATCCCAGGGGACGTATGGCAACTGGGAAAAAAATGTATAATGAAGATTCGATATGCAGCATCTATCAGAGTGTCAAAGTGCTTTGCATGGGCTATGTCCTTTCTTCACAGGTACCTATGTAGCTCTGTTTGAGCTGAACTCGTGCTGCAGAAAAGCATAGAATTTATTGAAAAGAACTGAAAACAAAATAAGCAAAAAAAAAGGAGAATTAATTAAAAAATATGGATTCTCTGTCTCCAAATTAGTCTGGTGTGAACTGAATTATAGAAAAATAAGCTTGAGATTAAAGTTTTCCTTGTTCAGCAGAGACTGACATATCTGCAGGAATTAAAGCTGCAGATGCCTTTCTTGATGGATCTGGAAAATGGTTGATAAATAAAGTAATAAAATGACATCCATGGAAGATCTGGTTTGTTTTCTGCTCCACTCCAGCATTACCGTAGAAATAAAAAATCTTCTAGTCCTGGAGTGTAATCCATATATTTTGTGTCTGGTACATTCAAATGCTACTGCACATGCATGATATTGAGAGAGAAGCTGGTTTGACATCTCATCGAACTCAAGCTCTTTTATGTAAGCCCACCTTCAATATTATAACTTTGAATTTCTTAGCTCACCATGCTCTGCTAGGGAAACTGCAGTGGCAATTTTAAAATAATCTGTTCTACATAGAAGTCTCATAAGCCAAACATAAAATTTGAGCTGAGTTACTCCTAGGATTTATCCCCAAAATAGATGCTCAGGAGGCAGGTTTCTAAGGGTTTATTCTTTTCTCTTTCACTTGATATTTGGTCATTTTAAGTGGAGTTAATCTCACCAAATCTGGATGAGTCTGCATTGCTGATGTCTGCATTTGAACTAATTGTGCTGAGCTTCCTTTATCACCAATGGACAGAAATATGAATTTTTTAAGGTGTGATTCATTTACTCCTAATGCACAATTGTAAAATGATTCAGAAGTGTCTGGTTATGGCCATAAAGGAAGCTTAGATACAAATATCTACATTGTCAACATCCAAAGTCAGATGAAGATGAGGTGAATGCTGGCTTTCATGGCTTTGGAAAATGCTACTTTCTTCAATACGATGCATGACAGAGATCCTTGGGATACAGCCAGGCAGTACAGGAGAAGACCAACAACCTCTGTGACACACGGAATGAAAATGGACACCTCCAGAAGTAGTACCCAAGCGTCACAGTTGTGCTGCGACAATCCCAGGTTTGTATGGCCAGTGGAGGAAATGTAAGAAGAGGTATGGAGAACTCGACATTGATGACCAACTGTTCTAAAAAAGATGGATATTGCACTATGGCTTCAAGATGCAAATCAGGGTCAGTAAATACTTCCCAACTAGAGATGCACCTGAGCCATAAACCAACATTAAAATATCTCCTGCTCCTAAATCTTACTAAACTATTTAGATCTCAGTTTTGCAGCTGGCCCTTGAATATCTTGGATCAAACCAGTAACTTTGATCTAGCTACACCTGAAGTTTACGTCTGGATTCAAACTTTGGAAGCCTTGCCTCTCGAGAAAGTTCATCTTTCTCTAAAACCTGCTGCATGCAAAAGGTCCCTTGAACAATCAAGAGCTTTGACCACTCCTAAAACACAGAGGTCATTTTTGGCAAATGGTAATGGCAAAGTACAGAAAGCATAGAGAGGAGGTGAAGCTGCCTTCCTTGGAAACAGAAGCAGCTAATGAGCATTAGAACTGGTGTTCAAATGGCTTTTTGTGCTGCAGGTGAACTTTCTCTGCCTCTTCCTAACCATGAAATAGTAGGAAGAGGTGAGAGGTGTCACATAACAAAGAATCAACTTCTTGCAAAGAGCTTTTTAGTAAAACGTATGTACACACCCTCATCAGTGAATTCTGCAGGTTTAAGACTGACTCAATCAGCTACAGATACACATGTATTCACATTTTGGAAGGCAAACAGCTTCCAGACATCTTTTAAAGGTACCCACAAGTAATACAAGGTAGACATAAACACTTCATACAGTGATATCTTAACGTAGTGTCCTCATGGATACTATATATTCAGGAAGACATTGCTCATGTAGGTGATGCTATACCATCTTCCAGAGAGTAGAAAGCAAGCCCTTTTTTAAAATATTGAAAGGGGAGATGGACATGGCAAGCTCCAGTGCAGAACTGGACCAAGAGCAAACTGAAATGGCTAGATAGTTTTCATCCCTTCTCTTGGGCTACCAAGCTGTATAATTTACAAGCAGAGAAAGTCATTCACAGTTCTTTACAGTACTATTTCTAGTGTCATGTAGTAACTGTGGATTTACTGCACTCTCCTGTGAAATTTCAACCGCCACAACAAAGCTTTATGTTGCAGATGATCAACACTCAAATATTTAGGAGTAATAATAATAAAGACATTTCGCCCTCCTCTCCCCTTCCCACAGGGGATTGATTTGTCTTTTTACAACTAGGGGTTGATTCAGCCCTGTGCAAATCTAAACAAGGTCTTTTTGTGTGTATGTGGCAAGTATTTGACTGACATTTTGCTTACAGAAGGGGAAAATCCCACTTCCTGGAGCATATTGCAGGGACCAGCAAATATATCCCTTCATCCGTTGGAACAAATATATAACAATAATATTGTGCGGGTGCTCCAGAGCTGACTCAGTTGTTACACCATCACATTATGCCTGTGATATGCAATCCATCATTACGTTTAAAGCGCCTGCTTGATTAATATTCAGTATTTAATGTCAACACTGAGAAATTAGAATTCAAAAGTGCTACACTGCAGGAACTGCAAATACTGCTGCAGCGATAACGGCCTGGGTTAATTTCATGAGATCTGTTAGTTCAAGGGGAATTTCACCATTCAGAAATACCCAAATGTATATATGGTATTAACCACCAGCTGTCACCTCTTGGGATAAAGGCCATGTGTTTAAAGAAACTAAATGTTAGATTCCCAAATGGCTATGATTATTCCTTCTCCTGTATAAACAGTACCGCTATCTTTTAGCAGTATAGCTTTGCCATCCATATTCACAACAACACTCTAACTGCGGTGTTACAGATATACATGATATACTAGAATTGGGAAGTACTTTGGCTTAGATTGTTTTAAACATCTACTTCCCAAGTGCATAGGTTTTGTCTTAACCAACTTGCTCAAGAAAATAAAAAAAAAAAACCATGGCATTTTTTTAAATCTGTCTTGGTATTGTTCCCTTTTCTCATTTGAAATGTTGGTTTTTTCTGTTCCGTGGACTATTTTATCAACCAAATCTGTCTTTTACCCTACTATTTACTTAATGGTAACTTTTTTTTTGTTTCACTTTTTCTTCAGTCCTACATACAACAGATCAAGCAATTCCCATTAGAGCTACAGTTTGAGACTCAGGAACACTTAATGGCCAACAGACTCTTCCCTGGTGGAGAATGAGGATTCAAAGGAAACATTTGAGATTACTTTTACTTTCATTATTTCTGTTAAAAAAAGTTTGCACCTTGATGTGTCATGAATACCCCTTCTTGATCTTCCTTTGCCTTGTCAGACCTGGCCAGCACAAGCAGCTGAGATCTGTGCTCTATTTTCCCTGCATCTCTGTGCAACGCTTTTTTAAAAAGAGAATATACTATTATTTTTAATAAGCCTTTCAGACTGCTGTAACATGATCAGGATTCTCCTGAATCTCTATGCATTCAATCTCTTCTCGTTCCTTCCTTTTGGCCCGTTTCTTTTTCTTGTGATGCTTTTTGGAAGGTGGAAAAAAGGTTAGAAAGACGGGCAAAATAACAAAACAGTGCAGAAGTGTGCAACTGCCAGCAAGCAGCAAGCATTTGAACAGTGTGAAGGTCAAGTTTGAAGGCACAAAGAGAAGGGGGACCAACCCAATAAGAAAAGAAGAAACGTTCTGCAAAATGGCTGTCCCATGCTCTTGGAGGGAGTTCTTTATACACTGAGTTCGGGTGTGCTCAGTAGCTAGTACAAATGTATAAAGCAGGGGTGCACAGTGATCTATGGCAAAATTCAAAGTGTAGATAAGGCACAGTATAGAAATGCAATCCATGTCTACATTCCATAAGGTCATCAAGCCAAGGACACCCAGCTCTATTGAGGTGACACTGAGAATTAACCAGAAATTTCCCAGAGGATGGATAACCAGGAAAAAGGTCAGTATTAACATCAGCAGGATGCCAAAACCAGAAATCAGGACAGGCATAGTTACTGATAAACCATAGTGGTCCATGAAAACAAAGGTAGGATTGAACACAATGAACTTGATGCTCTGTATAAGAGAGAGCGGCCTCAGCTTCTCCAACAATTCTATCGCCTCCCTCTGTGTGTTTTCACTAGTCCTGGCCACCAGGTACAAACGAGAAGCAATTATGTTGTTCTCATCTCCAGCTTTGGAGAAAATGATGTCGTTTTTGAAGTGCTGGAATTCTGGCTTTTTTAAAAAGGAGCTCTGCAGGATGCTGATAAAGTCACTTTTGTTGGTTGCACTGATGTTACCTACTCGAAGGTACTGGTAATACTGTTCAATCCAGGACACTGTATTGAACCCCTGGCTTAGTGTTTTTAGGTCTTCTTGCACAGTGCCATTCCAGTACTCCAGAGGTTCGTAAATGTAGAAACCTATCACTGGGCTGTAGTTGCTGAAATACTTTTGCTGTATTAGGGCATAGGAGACGCTTGGAGACTCACTGGCAAGAAGGTTGATAATGTTGGCTCCATCATTAATCTGTAAGCACCCCATAAAAGAGAAAGAAGCGTAGATGAGATACAGTATCACCACAAATGGCTTGACATAGATGTTGGTAATCCACTCATTGTAATGTTCTCGGAGGAAGTGCTGGATAAAGTGATGCTGGTACGGGTTGGTCTCATGATGAGAAGTATGTTGATGGCCATCATTCATCATGGTCTGGAACCACACAGGTTTCCGGTCCAGATATTCTGCTGAAGGGATTTTACAGCAGAAGATGCTGTGATAACGGTTCTGCTCCAACTGGCCAGCAAAGACCAGGCAGGAACCAAAGAAGGAGAAGATGTAGAAGTAGTTCAACAGGATGGAAACACACATGTTCTGGCAAAAAACTTTTACAGCTTCAATGTTGGTGAAAGGGCTTGCACCCATGCCGAAGGCTATGAAGTACAAGGAGCTTGTCATTGTATAGGAGACCATGACATCTGAGTAGGCATCTGCTACTCTGTCCTTGAATGGTAGATTCTCTCTGGTTCGACGCCATCCTGAAAGAAGTTCAAACACTCCTTTGGTTCCATGACCTGAAATGAGAAAACAAAGTATATACATGTCCATATATAAAGGGGGTCCCATCATCCTCCAGGTTTTTCATCCTCCAGCAGTCAAAACACTTTGTCAGACAAGCTTCATTATGATTTTGTCACCAGTTAAACAAACAAAAATTTGTCTAAAGTTAGATACCAGAATTCTTATGCAGATGCTTAAATTAATGGACTGATATTCTAAGCCTTTCTATTCTCAGAAATGAAATTATGAAATACTCTTTAAAAGATGCTCATTGATTTTAATGGACATTGAATTAGTTTCCAAATGGACTGCCTATATAAGACAAAGGAGAACATTAAATTAGGTTCATGTCTGGGGTTCAATCTTGAAATTCCTTGTGGCATCCTACTACATCTTTCAAGGTTTAAGGAATTTAGTTTGAAACACAAATGCAAGTAACAACATTTTCTTCCAGGGAGTGTAAATTAAAGACATTATTTGAGAAATGTCGAGGTGTGACCAAGAAAGGGATGCCTTGGTACTTCATGATGGACAAAGGAAAAAAATAGACTACCAATTAGTACAAATAACCAGAAAAATCTGTATGATGTTTCTCTACTGAGTGAAACCAGAACTTCTCTGTGTTAGCACATAAGTTTACACACTATATGAATGTAGACATGCTGGTGGTGATGATGGAGAGAGTATAGTACTGGCTACATCACTGGTCCACATCAATTGTCTAGAAAACTTATGAGATTTTTTTTCATTATTATTTCTCCCTCTCTCTCTCTTTTCCTCTCAGCTATCCACAGCTTCTCCTGAGGAGAAGGAATTCACTTAGCTTACATGATAGGACACTCAGAAAAGAGCCAGATGTGATCAGTGCTCCATTAGAGGTTCTTACTTTGTATTCCATCCTGAGCAGTGTTTTAAGGGTATGATTTCTTAGTAAATTAAAGCATAATACAGACTTACTTTCATCTTACTCATCACAGTCACAATCCAGGAAGTCTACAGCTATTAAAAGTTAAGACAGAATGGTAAAGTTGAAGCTAAGCTTACTGGAAAACGTTTAACTAGCAAAAGATATTCATTATTTGTACATATTAATATAATTTGCATATTGACTCTGTCTGTCTGTCTGTCTAGCTAGCTAGCTAGCTAGCTGCACAAGCATATTCTTTTCTTTCTCATTAGAGAATCTCAATTTTGGGGAAAAGGTGAAAACTCACATTAGAAACACAGCCAAAAGGGTTTGGCTTTCAAATCAAAATTTTGTTCACAAATTAAAAACACATATTTGGGTTTGAATGAGAAAGTAAAGAGTTCTCTGCACTTTGGATCAAGACCTGACAAAATTCTACACGACATAAGGAAACACACTACTGAGCAGAGAAAGTAGCAGCAGATTGCAGATGCTTCTGCCTCAGTTTGTGTGCCTTCGCTCTCTGCAGTAGAAAAATTGCATGCAACAGAGCATGCACAAAGCTAATTTTCTTGTAGCAAAACCAGAAATATGACAATGGGAGATTTGCAAATAATGAAATGTGTAATAGTGAACAAAAGGTCTGTTGAGTTTGTCTTTTAATTTGAATTGTTTGGTTCATGCAGATGCTTATGTTGCCCAAAACAGACTCCTGATAGCCATTCTAGATGGGGAAAATTACAGCATAACATGTCAAGTTCTGTTAATGCTACCTGCATTACTGCAAATCAGTGTCCTCAGTGAAAGGTAAACATACAATACCACAGCAGTCTTGTGGTTAGCAAAAATCCTGTGTGGAAATCCTGCTCTCTTACAAATCGGCATCTTGGTTCAAGAGGGACTCTGGTAAGTGTAGAATAAGCCCGTTCAAATTCTCAAGGCATGGCAGTCTTCCACATCATCACTTTTGGACTGTCAAGCAGAAAGAATTGGCTCCTTGGGCTGAGTAAAGCTACTGAATCCAATGACTTGGCTGTAGTTTTATACTATGCTTAAAGCAAGAGTATAAGTACCCTGCAGAGCTTGGGCCATGCCCACATCCTAGCATGGTTTAATTTCATGGTATAGGAGCTGTGTTTCATGCTTTTTTGGGGACATTAGAGCACAATAATCTTCCTCAGATGTCTATGGTCCCCACCTCTGCATCTACTGATTGATTTTGCATGGTTCTTTTCCAGATGTTTCTGACAGAGGTCCCTTTAATGTATGATTTTACTACTTAAAACTTGTTCATATCCCATAAAGCTGTAACACTTGTCTTCACAAACCAGCTCCTGACATCCCTTTCTCTTCCAGATTTAGGCACTCCTTCTCTCTTTTGCCTTTAATAACATGACAGTAGCCACACTGGATTGAACCAAGGGTTGCTCTTTCTCTGTCTCAATGACAAAGTGCAGGGATAGATATTCAAGAAAAGAAAGTTGGAAAGAGGACACTTAATTACTTGCTGAGTGATGGTCTCCTTAACCACATGTGCACAGCTAGGTGTGTGTTTCCCTGGTGGCTGTCCAAGAAGCATGTGTTAATTTGCCATCTGGATATCACCAATAAAATAGAAAATAATTGAGTTCTGCTTTCTACCCACTTTAGGAGGTACTGATCTAGGATTTTTTACTCTTTCTAGGCAACAATTCTCACAAAACTTCTAGAATTGCAGCAGACTCTGAGATCTCCGTCTCTCTTTCAGATGTGACTGAAATGGACCCATTATTTGCAGGCTGTTGTTATACATATACATTGTACCTATAAATGTATGGAGAGAATACCTGTGGGAGGCTCTTTTTAGGAATCACAGCTAAAAGTGATTGACAAAATCAAATAAAAATATTTTTTTATCACTATAGTGTTTTTAAATTGGAAATTTATCAAAAGAAGTAGTTTTGCAGAAACAGTTTGTTATGATGGATTGGTGTTTTCCAAAGAAGCCTCAGGTGAAGCCATGTTCTATCAGCTCTATCAACAACTTACAGTAATATTGACTTTTCCCTGCATATTACAAAATCTCACTTATCTGCCCACCTGAAAGAATATGTTCACAGCTGCAGTTTTATCATGTTTTTATTGTTATTAATTTATAAATTTTCATGTATCACATTCTCAGTGATGAGTACAGAGGTGCATTTAATCTTAGAGCAGGTACTTATGACTGGCAGAAAGGGGTTTTACTGTGAAACATATGTATGCAAAGTCTGCCCAAGAGTACATGTTAATGTGTATGTACTAACTTGTGTTAATGTGGAAAATTGAAATACTGTAATTAAACTCTAGACTTTTTTCAATTAATATCATAAAGAGACAAAATATTGATATTTTTAATATCTTTGAGGTTGAAAACTGGTACTAATTTTATTATTATTATTATTGCACATATGTAGAATTTCCACTTATCTCCCATTTACAGATAACTTCTGGTCTGCCACATAAATACAGGAACTGGGGAATACAGTGCAGTAATTCCCTTGCTGCCACAAGAAGAAATCTTTCCCTGACAGGTTTTCCCACATTATTATTCTGATACCAAGTTTTCCAGTCAGCCTCTGTTGTTCTCCCCAGATAAACAGGTCTGTTCTCCTTTCCCACCAAAGATTCAAATTCATTTTTTTCTGAATTGAACAGAAATCAGTATTTTCATGACATTTCTGATGATTCAGACACCATAGTCACTCAGTAAAATTCTTTTCCTTCAGCTCCATCACTAATGCTGCTGACAACAGTGACAGTGGAGTTAAGTTCACTGAGCAGTGCTAGGAAGGTTCACAGGGTCTTTGGCTCTGGGTCAAAACTGCCAAGTTTCTCTAGTACTAACATGACATGAATGAAGCACAGCAATTTTTTATTTGCCAGACAAGCAATGGACTATGACTACTTAAGAAGAAACAAGGCAACAAAATTTTATGTCCATTACTTGAGAAGTTAGGAAAGCAAAGAAGGGAGGCTGCAAAGAAGGTGGAAATATGTAATGCTGCCTCAATTTTCAAAACAAAAAGTTAATTATGAAAATATATTTAAAATAAATTTAAAGATGACAGGGATAGAAATAAGAGATAACATATTAAAGACTGCTTGATTCAGTTAAATTTATTCAAGCCTGAAGCGCCTGGAGAAATTAATCAATTAAAAGCTGAGCCAAAGGAATCTGAACTATTAGCAGTCACCTTAGAGAATCAGTGCAGATGGGCTGGTCCAAGAAGAATGGAGAGGAGGGAGGGGAGTTCAAACCCTATGTAGAGCAATACTTTAAGCTTGAAGAAGAGGTCAGAAATCAATAAGGTGGAATTTATTGAAGATAAGTGCAAGATGCTTTGTGTTACAAAATCAAATGAAAGAAATACATAATAAGGTATAACAGGCGAAGGAGAAGTGAGACAGAAGATTGGAGAATATGGGGAACTTCAAAGGGAATAAATAAAAATATTCTGTTACAACACATAAAAAGCAGAGTCAACAATAATAACAAATAGTTTGGAGGAAATAATTTTTCTTACTCTGGTATGATGGAGGCCTAAACTGGAACACTATTTTGAAATGGGTTGTGGTATTTTCATAGAATCATACAATCATGGCTTGGCTTGGAAGGGACCTTTAAAGATCATCTAGTTACAGCCCCCCTACTGTGGGCAGAGACATTTAAAAAAAAAAAAAAGGAGTGAATGCCTTGGGGAATAAAACCAGCAAACAATAACCTGTTTGTGAAATACAGGGAACACAAAGACAAGCTGAATGAGTTGGCCTTTTTCCCCTTGTAGACTGGAATGCCAAGGGGACTCAATAATATTCACCACAAAAAAAGTTATTATGAAGAGGACAGCAATCAATTCTTTCTCATTTCTACTGGAAGAAGGACAAGGAATCATTGGTTTCATTTGTAGAAAAAACATTTAGGTTAGATACCAGAAAAAACAAAGCTTTCTTCCTCTAAGATTCATTAAACACTGGAACACACTGTCTAAAGAGGTCATGAAGTCTTCAGTGCAAGTCTAAAAATAAAAGGTTAGATTAATAAATGTTAATGGAGGTGCTAGCTATGTCTTGTCTTAGTGCTGTCAG